CTCTCCTTGTTCGGCCTGTGAGTTTAGGTGGACGGCCTTGTCTTGGTAGGTTTACAGTTGTGCCATACTCCTTCCATTTCTGAATGATCGCTTGAACAGTGCTCCGTGGGATGTTCAAGGCTTGTTCTTTGGACTTCATGGTGTTGTTGCTCCCAATATTCTCTTAGACAACCTCTGAGGCTGTCACAGAGCAGCTGCATTTGTACTGACATTAGATTACACACAGGTGCACTCTATTTAGTCATTAGCACTCATCAGGCAATGTCTATGGGCAACTGACTGCACTCAGACCAAAGGGGGCTGAATAATTACGCACACCCCACTTTGCAGTTATTTATTTGTAAAAAATGTTTGAAATCATGTATGATTTTTGTTCCACTTCTCAAGTGTACACCATATTGTATTGGTCTTTCACGTGGAATTCCAATAAAATTGATTCATGTTTATGGCTGTAATGTGACAAAATGTGGAAAAGTTCAAGGGCCCGAATACTTTTACAAGCCACTGTATCTGTCAAACATGGTGGTGTTTCAGTCATTGACTGAAAAGGGTTTTAATACAAGTATTGAAAACAATCCTTACATTCAAAGTTATGTTGGTTTGTCCAGTTAATTTTGAGTCTCTGAAAATGTCGGATTATGTATAAAAAATGCTGTAATTCCTTAACAGTTTTTACAAAATGTTTGATAGAAGCTATCAAGGAAAGCTGATAATCTGCACTTTAATCACATTGTGATTGTTCAATTTAAAATCCACTGTGGTTGTGTACACAGGTGTTAAACTACAAACTGTGTGATGGTCAAATAAATTATGGGCGTAACTGTTTGCACTACGGTAAACCATAAACCATTTCTAGCTCATTACACAGAACAAAAGACTTTGTTCTGAATTCTGTAATTGCACTTACTTTTGCTTCCTGCTTGCTACTGGTCTTAGGTCAAACTGGGCAGTTCCTGCGGCTGATCATCTACACGAGTTTGATGTTCCTGACCCTGCAGTGCTTCTTGCAGATCCCCTTCGCATACATTCCTCCACAAGGTGAAAACAAAACTCTGGTCACAATAAATGAGCAATTTTTATAATAAAATGTCACCAATCCTCCGAGCAGACCTCAAAGACAGCCAAAAAAATAATTTGACTATAAAACAGTGCAAAGAAATACCCAATTAAAACAGGAATAATGCTTTTTAACTTGATGGCTGTTTGGTTTTCCCCTTTTCTAACAGTTAGTGGCTTCTGGGATGGATTTCTCTACCATTTGGGAATTGTAAGGTGGGTAGCCTGTGTTGTTTTTTTTAAATGTGCTTATAAACAAATTGATGTATCATCTATTGGAGATCAGTGAAGATCAAATGTTAATGTATGTGTATTTTCAGATTTAGCTCGGTTGATCCTGGGAATATTGTACGTCTCCTGCTCCCAGACGTGGGCCTCTTGGTGTCTACGTTGTTCATACTGAGACTCTGCAGGAAACTGCTACGCCCCGTGCCTCAGGTCAACCTCCATGAAAACGGAATCCCACCCTCTGACCCTCAGGTAACCACTCGCTTGTCAACAGCTATAGTCACTATGACACAACATTACCCTTGGGGTATCAATCATAAGGCCCAGGGACCAGAATCAGCCCAGCAAAGACTCCAGTCTAGTCTGCTGGAAAGTTTTGGATAATATGAAGGAGTACAAAGATTTTGAACTGTATTTTAATACATTTTACAGTTTTTTCTGTTGATAAAGATGACTCACTTTGCCATTCAGTGAGTCATCAGTCAAAAAACATTATTACAAATACGGGGCAGTCTGGGGAATGAGCAACTAGACCTTTTTCTGTAATTTTACACATTTATTGTGTGCTTCTTTTTCTTATATTAAGACATCTCAGGGATTAAATGTTTAGCTAAATGTCTTTACAATGACAGAATGGTGAGTTTCAGTGGTCTGAACCAGTTCAGATCAAAGCAGGCTGTATGTGGCCCACAATGTTCTATTGGTTTGACTTCCCTGCATTAAGCTAACAAAGCGCTGATTGTTTCATGGATCTTTCAGGATGTGGAAACCTCTGACACGGAGTCAGAGGATGGAAGTGAAATCGAGGGTTCATCCTTTGACAGCTCAGAAGAGACTACTACCCTGCCGGTACAGTCGGGTCCACCACAATTTGTCCAGAAGCTCATAGTGTTTGCAGCTGGACTGAGGCTGCTGCTGTCAGCTATCATGAACACAGCAGGGAAGGTGGTGGTGACTCTGCTGCTGGGGTTGGCAGGTACAATACAGCAGCAGCTTTGTGCATGCCAGCTTACTATAGCTTAAAAATGGTGAGTATTGCCTAATTCACCTTTTTCTTCATGGCTTGTCATCTTTTATGTGTGTACAGGTATCATACTGCCCTCCCTTACCTCAGGAGTGTACTTCGGGGTGTTCCTGGGGCTGGTGTGGTGGTGGGTGTTTGGCCGCTCCATCAGCATGCTGCTCTTCAGCTCCCTGTGTGTGATGATGGCCATTTTCAGCGGAGGACACCTGCTGGTTCTGTATCTCTATCAGCTGCCACTTTCCCAGGAGCTTATACCACCAGAAGATGTTTATCCCAGGTATAGAAATAAGAGTAGATATTTAAATTATATCAGTCTGGTTCTTCTATTTCTTTATTTAAATTCTTTTTACTAAAAATATGCCTTACGTGGCACTTTTCTCTTTCTCCCTTTACTCTTCCCATTCATCTCCAGATTGTTTGGTATGATAGGAGTCATCAGATCCGACACTTCAAACCTGCACTCTCTTAGCGTGCACACAAACATCAGCTGGCCAGACTTCCTCAACCCGTTGGTTCTTCTACTCCTCTACTACACACTAGTGGCTTTGCTGCACAAATGGGTTCATGTCACAGAGAAGGTGCGCGTGTGTGTATCAGACTAAATATGTTTAGAGCCAAAAGTCATATGGGATAGGTTCGAAATGACAAACATGGGTGTTTTGTTAATTAAAATGAGAAAAATACACGCTCACACACATCAGAACTCGTGCAGGTTCCTGGGCAGAAGACAAGCCAGTGACAAAACACACACACAGACAATAATGCAGACAGCTGGGTTATTTTAAGTCACACAAGATCCAGTCACATGGGTGTAAAGTCCAATGAGGTTAAAAAAAATGTTTCTGGCTGGTGGATTTTAATAAGCAACACTTGCCTTGGCTGACGAGGGGAGAAGTTGCTTTTAAACACTAGAGTTGTGCATACATTATCTGCTCTTCAGCTATTGCAGTGACTTGAGCTTAGAAAACTACTGCTTTTATCATACCAGTAACACATCTCTGCCCCAACTTCCACAACTGTGTTGCCCAAGGAAGCAGATTTCCAGGTTCTACCAGCTTATCTTGGAAGGTCGCCACTCCCAACAGTACTACAAGTAGAAGTGCAAGTTTTACTATTACTTTGAGCGCTACTCTGCGATTGCTGGTCCGCATGGTTTTCACTTACTTGGCAGACTTTTGATAGTGATTGTGCTTCTCAGGATGAAGCAGATGAGGGTGAGAGTCCAGTAGAAAGTCCAGACGCTCCTCCAAGCTTCTCCAGGGTCATCTACATCTCAGGAGATAAGCAAGAGGTAACTTCATTATTGAATTTTGCATCCAACTATAGTTCTGGTTGGTACTTATATCAGTGATCCTGAATTCATGCTGAAAGCTTAATGGCTGTTAAATAAATTATTGGACATCACATAGTTTTATTACTACAAGTTGGTATTTAAACGCCTATTAAAGTCGAGATTTCCCTTTTTAGCTTTTAAGTAGCACAGATGAGGAAACCTATCTACCTAACGAGGTGAGGATGTTTTAGCATTTTCTATTTAGTACACTGAATTCTCAATCAGATGTGGACTCACTTAAAATTTCTTAGAGATTATCCTACAGTTTTGTTGTAACACACAGCATAATTTGCTTTCTTTCTTCAGCCAATGATTTTGATCAAAGGAAACTCCTGGCAAGATCTCCACACTGACAGTCTTGGATGTCCATTAGGAGAGGCAGATTACACAAACGGTTACCCTCTGCCACATTATGAGGGCAAGGACTCACTGTCTCATGGTAATCACAGAAAACTTAAATACATATTTAATTAACTAAAACTATACGGTACACAAACTTGATAAAAAAGCAGAAGCTACTTTCAGCTGCTCTCTTCTTCATAAGGGGTCACTGCATATAGATTTGGCAGATTTTTTAATGACAGATGTCCTTCTTCACACAACCCCAAAAAAGATTTGTGTGTCCTCCTTGGTATGGAACCAGGGAACTTTTTGTTTGTTAGGTAAATATGTAAACCACTATGATATAGAGTCAACTTTTATTTTTCACTAAACCCTTTCATTTCATTCTTTACTTTCCCTCCCTCTTTTGCCAGACACAGAAAGCGAGGAAGATGTGGAGGAGCAGACTGAGGAGGTCCATGAGAGTCTGACAGAGACCTTGCCTCCACCTTCAGGCCCAAGTGGTCTGGTCATTTTTGGTCAGCAGGTGCAAAAGCACAGCTACGTCAGCGGCCTTATCATCATGATGGTAGAGTACAAATAATCACGCTGGTTCATAAATGTGTTCTGTGTAGTGACTTTTTTTTAGCAGCCACAACCAGTATCATCACAGTGTTGAACAGGTGAAGACATTAGGTATAGGTCACATTATGTTACAAGCAAAGATAAGGAGGATTTACGCATTAGCTATGAAGTTTCAACCTTTAAAGAAACTGGTTTATTTGTTTTTTGAAACCACTTTTTTATACAGTTACAATACTTTAGACAACTGCAAGACTAATTTATATATACCCAGAGTCTACAGGTATTTTCTTTATTTTCTACCAAGGTTATTATAGTTAACTGTAACTAAGATAAAAAATTAAATCTAGATGTGAAAGGCATTTTAGTTAGCTAAAATAAAATGAAAAACATGACTTTTGAAAAAAAATTTTTTTACTATTACTATATTACTAGATCTTAGTAGTATTGTTAGTTTTCGTACGAGTTTTATCACAAATTGACTAATTAACATCTGACCAGTTGAAGCTAAAGCAGCCATATTTGTGTGAGTAAAGATTAGCAAGCAACTTTGCATAGTTAATAGCAGGCTCACTATGTCGTTATGAAGTTAACTATAACTATTATTCACAACATTAACAATATTAGCTAACTCACCCTAAGCGGCTAAAAGCAGCTAAAGAAAACTAGCTAATATTAGAGGTTGTTAAAGTTGTTTTTGTTATGATATCCACTGCATACAGATTTGGAGTATCACCTACAACAACTGGCTGACTTTCGCCATGCTTGTGTGGTCCTGTATAATTTGGATGATGAGAGACAGAAGGCGGTATGCCATGATGTCCGCCCCTTTCCTCGCCATCTATGGCACCGTGCTGGTGGTGCTGGGCTTCTTGAGCGGGCTCCGGCTGAGCCGGGCCGAGTTGTACCCGGGTCTGCCCCCGGCGGTCATAGTGGACTTTGACCTGAACAGCTATCACCCTGCACCCTGTGTCCACCTGGGAGCAAAGGTTAGCCATGACAGGGTAATAAGGAGCAGGAATGGACCTGATAAACTATTGTAATTTCCTTCTGTGGTTCTCGCTTCCATTAAAAACAATAAAGCTGTATTTAGACCTAACTTAGCTTGTAGGTTATATTGTTTTTTGTGTGTGTTGCCGTTCAGTCATTTAAGAAACACGAGCCTTACTGTATACAGTAACCTTATGTACTTAGTAAAAATTACTATTGTATAGTAGTTTGGCTTTTTTTGTACACATTTATTATCTAATATAACTCTAATTCACTTTTTCTTCCTGACATTTATTTATCAGTGTGTTCATGTATTCCATCTAAAGTTTATTACCATAAGGAATTTTGTGTTTTTTTAATCAGACAGTCTGAAGTCACTGAATTCAGTTTAAATCTTTCTTAAACAAGAATTTTCCAACAGTATTCACAGACTAGTGTACTTTGAAAACTTTTGACAGATTTTTTTAAAATAATTTTTTGTTCCCAACACAGGTCTGCTTCAGCTTAATATTTACTAAGTACACAAACTTGTGTATTTTGTGTTTATGATAAACTATTTTCACTGCAGGTCTTCTACACCTTCAGCTTTTGGTTGATGTTTCGTCAGCAGCTGAAAGAGAGACAGGAGGGGCAGAGCATGAAGGCAGAATCTCTGGATGAAGTCAAAGTCGTGCCACGTAATTTATCTTTTCATTGATTTTCTCAAGATTATATGTCAGAAGATGTTGGAGTAATGTAATTCCTACCTGGGCACTAATGAAAATCATCCTGTCATCAACAAGACAAGTTTAATCATCAAGCTGTCTCTGTAATGCCCTCCCTTACCTCCTTCTCTTTCTCACTGTGTTTCTGCCTCCTTGTTTTGCACCTTGCCAGCGGAGGAAAATCAGCCATCTCCTCTGGTAGCGAAACTGATCTCAGGTGTAAAGGGGTTTCTGGTGAAGTACTGGATCCTCTTCTGCTGCTCTATGTTCTTTGTGGTCAGCTTCTCTGGAAAGGTATCTAATGACAGACTTAAACATTGTAGCATTGGCTAAGGCAGATTTTTACTAACAGAGGCCCTAAATATCACAGGAAGAAGTTTTTTAACAACTATTTTTTGCTTTGCTTCTCAATATGCTTTTTGCATTCTCATTACATGTAGTGCCCAGTGCTCACCAGATACTGGCTGTGAGCACTCTGGCAAACATGGTTATTGAAGAACTCATCTTGCTACTGTTTCAGCCCATGGTGCTACATATGGCAACGTACAGCAGCTTTAGTAATGCTCATCTAACAGAGTTGTGAGATGACGTCCCAGTTACATCCTGTAAAAATGATGTCAGTAAAGGCTGCACAATCTTAATCTGCAGACATAGTCACAGAGAGTCTGTCTGTGGTCAGTGAGGGAGCTGAACCAGCGCTTCCAGTCACCTTTGTAACTGCAACTCCTCCGACTTCCCCGAACATCAATGCACTCTCACCTCGTCCTTGAATGCACTGAAAATGCACCATACTGTATCATTATAAAGCAGAGCCTTTCTCTATAAGTCGGATATAATGTAAACAAAAATGTATTGCAAAATGAGTTTTCCAAAAATATTTTCAAACTGATCTTTAGGAGCCTCTGTATGGTCAAAAACGAATATTATTATGATTAGTAGTAGTATTAGAAGTAATAGGTTTAAAAGTAGTTTTATTGTTATTCTTGTTGTTGTTTTTTCACATGTATTTCCTTCTTCAGTACTGTTGAATATCAGCATGCGTTTTGTCGGCTGCTAGTAAAACCTTATTTACGAAAAAGAAGATGAAAATGCTCCTTCCCATAGTCCCACACGTCATTGGATCCTTCTGTTTCTATAATCTCAGTCAGAATTGTTTCTGAGCCGTGCAAATAATAAGTAAATACTATTGTTTCATTCATTGTATCATGTTTCACTCATTCAGGTGGTCGTATACAAAATCCTCTACATTGTCCTCTTCCTCTTCTGTGTTGTTCTCTACCAGGTTAGTAACTTAGTTTTCTGTCCTCTAACTTAAAGTAGACTTATATCAGAGTATAGTTACTCAGCTCACAAAATATCTATCTATCTATCTATCTATCTATCTATCTATCTATCTATCTATCTATCTATCTATCTATCTATCTATCTATCTATCTATCTATCTATCTA